CAAGTACCGACTCGTACCCTGGTCGAGCGGTACCAACCCATCCATTCAAATCACCACATACAACAATTCTTTCGTTTCCCCTAGCCAAATCTAGAACTTCTCTTACATTCTCCCAAAACTCCTCCAGCTCAGCCCTGGACGACGAAGCTACCGGCGCATAAACAGCCAAAAGGAATAACTTCGTCAGTCCCAATTTAAAGCGAACCCAGAGAAGTCTTGAGTTCACAACCTTATATTCAGTCATAACATCGACCAACCGAGAAGACAGCAGCACCCCCACTCCCTGGCAGGCGTTCTCGCTCTCCGGGACTCCGGACCATAGAACTATCGCCCCGCCAGGGAGCGCTTCAGTACCACTGCCCTTCCGTTTGGTCTTCGACATACACACGACATCTAATTCTCTTTCTTTCATTATTTCGATCAACTCATTCGTCTTATCTCTTATGCCTCCTCTAACATTCCACGTGCCAACTCTGCACTCTGTAAACTGCTGTAAACATGATTCTATTAATTAGATAATTTGTTTTTTTTTATTAATTTTAGTTTTAATTTTTTGTATCATAAAATATTGTATATTATGTTATGTTAATTAAATATACGAAGAAAATGATTATCTGTGATGTCAGATTTACCAACATCCTGTGTTTTATTTCCAAAAAAATTTAAGGGTATCATTATTAATATAATTTGGATTTCTAAAAAGAAAAAAAGATTTAAAGCCTGTTTCAAAGTCAAACTTGTCCAATTTTTTTGAATCAAAATGCAAGATGTCCATTAATGTTTCATTATTTTCTTTATTTTTTGCTACCACTACTTACTCAATAAATATGTTTATGGTTTGATGAAATTTCATTCAAAACATTAGTTTTAGTTATGCCAAAATCAGTATAATTGATTTTTATGAGAACTGTTTTTAATACAGGTTTTTGCTTAATTACTCAGAATCATATTTGTTGGATAACTCGCCATTTGAAACGACGCTCTTCATTTTAAAAACGCTAATTATTTGCGTAGTATCGATTTATCTAAAGCAAATACTTATTTCTGAAAATGATCGTGACAAAACAGCGTTCTATATACCTACTCGCAGTACGTATAGATTTGTAACCATGTCTTTTGGATTAACCAATACTTCTGCTACGCAACAAAGTCGACCAGTTGTTTAATAATAGTCCCAAGTTTGAAAATAAAATGTGTTTGTTTTCTTGACGATTTAATTTTAATATCACTTAACTTTGAAAATCTCATTTTGCTTGTTATGAAAGTCTATAATAAATTAAAATCCGTTAACCAATCAATGAATTTAGAGATATCAAAGTATTCTTAACGAACTTAAATATTTAGGCTCTAAAAGCTTATACGTAGATCCGAGTGATTATGGTATAGGAGCCCTGCTCACTCAAACAGTTGTCGGTGTGGAACTTCATATAGCCTACATGACCAAATCGTTATCTGCACACGAGCGTAATTATAGTATTACTGAGCAAGAAGCTTAGTTTATTCTAGTTGCAGTAGAGTACTGTTGTTACATGATGTTTTATATAACAACTTAATAATATATCTCTATAAAGTTCCCACCTTTGAGAGATTGAAGGCAACTTGTTGGTGGGTGAGACAAACATGATCGAAAAATGCATATACTCAACGTCAGAGACACAAACCCTTTCTGATGGCGAATTATTAATATTATCTTATAACTGCCTATTGGCTATATCTGCCATTGTATTGGTTGGTGGAGCATATGTGTTGACCTCATGCGGGTGGTAGCTGGAGGGAGAATCTGAGGAGGCTCTCAAGGCTGCGGCCGAAAGCCGCGCAACGTGGGACCCCATTCCCTTGAGGTGAGCGGTAGACTCATGACACGCTCTGCGGCCAATTGGCCGTGCTGACCATGCAATTGATGGTGATGCCTTACACTTACATCACGTCTGCAGGAACGGCGGTCTGGCAGGTGGTGGCGCTCACGGAAGGCTTTTTATGGTCAGTGTGCCGATTGTTGCCTAACCCGTGTGACGTACATTTCACTATGGCTGGATTTGATCGTATTCTGTATGGCGTTTACACGCATTGACATGCGCGACTTCGGTCGATGTTTGTGCTTACGCACTGTCAAGGGGCCAAGTCCTCTTTTACTGGTTCGCCAGTTATTTTGCTGTGGACTACGGTCCAGTTCCCAACTTTGCGTACCCTTCGGGGGGAGCGCATTAAAATGGTTGGCGCTCACCGTGCGCGGCGTGTGTGGGGCCGTGTACCTCCTCCACATTTTTTTTAAAATGTGGGAGAGCGAAGCCCTTGTAACTGGTATTTGATATAAATATTGTGAGCCTTTTCCAAGCGGGAAGGGATTAATTAATAAGGAATTGACTGTTGTGAACCAGATACAAGTGGAATAGGGACAATTTATTGTTCTTAACCTTTTTGAGCTCTGTCTTCGTGAACGGGGTTCTTTAGCTTATAAGACTCTACCAACAGCTTTCGATTGCTCTCGTGAATATTCATTCTTCCAAGATACACCTAAAAGAACTAAGTTACTATACAAACACAACGTAAAAAAGGGTCCTAACTAAGACGATCACGCCATAAATTTATTAAACGGCCTATATTTAAACCTTTAGAAAGATCAAGTTATACTGGTCACATAAATTAGATGTATTTATATATCTTACAGATATAGATTCTAAAGAAATACAAGTATAAGTGGGATATATAGTAGAAGAGAAAAAAGATGGGGGGGGGGTTCGTTACAATTTGGTGCCGTGACCAGGATGGAGGTTAAATTTTAAATAGGAGGCCGGTAATATAAAATTATGAGGTAGGCTATATGCCTACAATTTGTTGTCCGTGAAATGGAGCGGTGTCTTGGAGAGTGGTGTTTGCTGGGGGTGGTTGAGAGTCTGGGGGTGGGGCTTAAATATTAAAATTGAGGAATAATATAGGTGTGTGCATAACGGAGCGAAATAATAAAAAGTGAAATAAGTGGAAAGACTCAATTAAACTAAGTAAAGGACACAACAGGTGAAAAAAAAAGTGTAAAAAAAAAAAACTGCAATACTATATATTATAAAGTGAAATAAGTGGAAAAACTCAATTAAACTAAGTGAAGGACACAACAGGTGTAATAAAAAAAAATTAAAAATGGCTAAAAATAAGAAAAAATCAACCTCAATTAAGGCTAAGTCTAAAGATGAGATGAAAATGCTTCAGAAATTAATTAAGAATGCAGTGAAAACCTTTGAGGTTAAAATAAAGGATCTTGAGGAAAAATTTATTAACCAAACGAAAGATTACCAAATTAAAATAAATCAAGGAGAGGTGTGCGGGGCGAGCACCTCTCATGTAAATGATCCTAGACAAAATATTGTATATAATGTACATAATGTACCAATAGAAAAGCCGAAATTTGGAAATGGAAATACTCATCCAGTATCATTTTTGGAAGATCTCACCAATTATTTAAAGAAAGTTCCATCTAATGGTCTCGAAATTTCGATTGCACAAGAGTGCTTAGTAGGTGAAGCCAAGTATTGGGCTCGCATTAATAATGTGCGTTGGACAACTTTTGATGATTTTAAAGCTGACTTCCTAAGAGTGTTTTGGGGTGAAGAAGAACAAAATAAAGTAAAGAGATTCCTTGTGCAAAATAAATGGAATAGAAGTACACACCCCACCATGGTTAGTTATTTTCTTTATGTGGTTGAGAAGGCACAAACATTATCATATCCGATACCTGAAAAACAATTAGTAACTGATGTCATCAGACATTATCCTAAAACTGTGCAGCAATTATGGAGAATAGCTAAAATTGAGACAATAATAGACACGACAGATTTCTTAAGAAACTTAGATGACATCGACAAACAAGATGAAGGTCGTGAACCTTAATATAATGAGAAAAGGAGGAAGTTTAATAATAATACGGAGCAAAAACATAAAGAAATACAACAATCATACAAAACATGGCGTAAACCCGAAGAGGGAAAAAAGAAGGTTAATGAAGTACATGAAATACATTTCACTAATAACCAACCTGATGTTACGGCTCCTGAGCCAAATTTAGAGCTGTAGAGGTCGAACTAGTTCCCGATTCGACCCCTTACAATGTAAAAGGGAACAAAGCATTAAATATGTTATTAAAACTGGGTTGGCGACCTGGTCAAACATTGGGTAAAAACAATAGAGGGTTGCGAAAACCTATTACTTTAAAAGCAAATTTTAACAGAGAATGCCTTGGTTATAACGACAAGGTAAATAGCATATTAAACACCTTAAAAGCCAGGTCGGACTTGCCCATAACGGAGTTATTCTTGCAAACCGTCTTCGAGGAAGACGAAGATAAATATCAAAGGGAATTTATAGGGAATATGAGATCTGAAATTAAAGTTTCAATATTTGACAAAGAAATAGACGCGCTCCTCGACACTGGGAGCGATGTTACATGCATTTCAGAAAGTTTATATTTACAAATTAAAGAAAATAATCGTAAAATATCAATAATGCCAGTTAAAGCAATGCAAATAAAAGGTGCTGTTGGGCAGCGCAGCACAAAAATACAACAGATGATCATATTGCCTATAAAGATAGATGAAGTAGTCTTTGAAACACAAACTTTAATTGTAGGTAATTTAATAAGACCTTTAATATTAGGCTTTGACTGGCTCAAGAGAAATAAAATATTGATTGATTTGAGAAATACTACTGTTGGAATAGAATTTAAAGTGAAAAACAAAGACTACTTTATACCTTTCAAATATAATAATAAATCTGTATTACATAATAACTGCATCAAACAATGTACCGATGATCCCTTAATAAATATAAAAATAGGATCTACATTGGAGGTCTCTGAAAGGGCAAAACTTAGTAAGGTTTTGGAAAAGCATAAGAATATGTTTTCGAGCAAATTGGGAAGAGCCAATTGCTATGAGCATAAAATTGAAATGATCGATGATGAACCTATAGTTACTAGGTCCTATCCCATTCCATATGCATATAGAGCGAAAATGGAAGAAAAGTTAAATGAAATGGAACAAGATGGTATCATCACAAGGACATCAACGCCTTACAGTAGTCCATTGACATTCACTCTTAAAAAAGACGGCTCAATTAGAGTTCTGCTTGATGCCAGAAGCATAAATAAGAAAATGGTTGCAGAAACAGAGAAACCACCTATAGAATTAGATGTTTTGAATTCATTTCACGGAGCGAATTATATCACTACCATTGACTTAAATAATGCATATTTTCAAATTCCGATAAATAAAGATGGTAGAAAATATACTGGATTCACATTCAATGGAAAGTCATATGTATATAATGTTTTACCGCAAGGATTAAAAACATCAGTAGGAAGCTTTAGCAGAGCCATGAATTTAATATTAGGACCAGAAGTCCAAGAATTTTGTGTGAACTATTTAGATGATCTAGCCATTATTACAACAGGAACGTTAGATAAACATTTGGAGCACATTGATATTGTTTTAAGTAAATTGAACAAAGCTGGCTTAACGTGTAACTTGCAGAAATGTGAATTTATTTGTAAAGAAATTAAAATGCTGGGTTTTATAATTTCAACAGAAGGCATAAAGACAGATCCCGATAAGATTCGAGCGATCCAAGAGTTTCCAGCACCTAAAAAGATTAAACAATTAAGGGCCTTTTTAGGTCTATGCAATTTTTATAGAAGGTTTATACCAAATTACAGCGAGAGCATAATACCGCTCTGTGAATTACTTAAAAAGGGACGAAAGTTCAAATGGAGCGGTAAAGAACAGAAGGCATTTGATTTTATAAAACAACAATTTATTAATACAATACAATTGCATCATCCAGACTTTAATAAGCCGTATTATTTACAAACAGATTGTTCCGGTGTGGGTATGGCCGGAGTACTATATCAGATAGATGATAATAGTGAAATGAGAATTTTAGGCTATCATAGTAAAGCCTTAAAAGGCCCCGAATTAAATTGGTCTGTTACTGAACAAGAGTTTTATGCTGTAATAAGCTGCCTAAAGAAATTTGAAACATATTTGCGGGGCAAAAAAGTAATAATACTAACTGATCATAAAGCATTATTGTTTATTAATAATATGAAGTTATTCAATGGTAGAGTAACCCGATGGATTTTGTATATAGAACAATTTAATTATGAAGTACAGCATATATCGGGTAGACGTAATATTGTTGCAGATGTGCTATCACGTTATCCTCCTGATGGCGATTTAATACAAGAGGATAAAAATAATAGTTTAGAAATTGCTTACACAGAGAGCGAACCGAATATTGAGTTGATAGAAAAATTAAAATCCTTAACAGTATATCAATTACAAGATACAGAGTCGTTGGCTATTATTGAAAAGTTAAAGACATTAAATACTTCCATAATAAAACAAAACAATAAATTTAAAAGATATAGTTTGAAAAATGATGTATTATATTACAAAACGAATTTACAAGAAGTAATATATTTACCTAAAGCATTGAGACAAGATATTATAAATCAAGTGCATGTCGAAATGGGTCATCAAGGACCCTATAAGGTATTTAAATATGTGAGAGACAGATTCTTTTGGAAAGGTTTAACAAAAGATATTAAAAACCAATTAAGGGCTTGTCATTTATGTCAGTTATCTAAGAAAAGCAATATAACATATGTGGGTCCCTGCAAATCTATAATAACAGAAAACATTGGTGATATAGTCATGGCAGACTTATATGGACCACTTGTATCAGGTATTTTTTTTTTATAGGATCGGGTGACAAACGAGCACACAGTCCACCTGATGGTAAGTGGTTACTGTGACCCATAGATATCTACATCTATCCTCAATAAAGACTCAAGATGCAGATGCGTTGTCACCCGTGAGGACTAAGATGGAATGCCTCTTTGCCAGTAAAAAGGGTCTCCGGTTCTCTACACTCACCATACGAAACACAGCAGCGTTAAGCTGCTATTTTACGCTGGTTTTCTGTGAGAGCGTGGTCCTTCCCCGGTCGAACCGACCCATTCGTGCTACAACCATAATATAGATGCAGCATGGCTCTACCTTTGGGTACACTTTCATATTTGTCATTCAAGATTCATTCAGTAAATTTATCAAATTATATCCTTTAAAACAGTCAACAGCAAAGTCTGTTGTAACAAAAGTAAAGCATTTTGTTGAGATTATAAAGCCCAAGGCAATAATGACAGATAATGGAAAACAGTTCGTAAGTAATCACTGGAAACAATCAATGAGTGAATTAAATATAAAGCCAATATATACCACAGTTAGAAATCCTAGACCAAATACAACAGAGCGAGTAAATAAAGAGTTGAGCAGATTATTTAGGACGCTTTGTCATACTAACCACAAAGATTGGGCGTTAATATTGCCGAAATTAGAAGAATTGTATAATAATTCTTATCACAATAGTACAGGCTTCACGCCTTGTGAGATTCTTTATGGTGAGTCTAATGAGATGTCTTTTGACAAAGTAATTTCCAAAAGTAAAGACAAACATAATGTCGGACAAATTAGACAACAAGTGCGTAAAAATTTAAAAGAGGCAAGTCGAATAAGAAACACAAAATTTGATAAGCGAAATAGATTAATAAAATATAATATTGGTGACTTAGTAAAAATTTCAAGATCTAGTAGATCAGACGCTGATAATAAAGTTATGTAATAGCAGCCGTACCATTTGACAATGTATATACCTTAGCAAATCCAGAGACAAACGAAATTAGAGGAATTTTCAATGCTATTCACTTATTAAAATATTTTAAATAATAATTTCTTTTTGTATAAATTAGAGTAATTAAATAAATATTGTAACATAAAAGGGTTTTGTGGGTGGCCCATGGAAATAATTGTTTAAGTTAAAGGTCTAAAATTATTAAAGTTATGAGCAAGAGATTTGTTATATGATAGTAGAACATTATTAATATATAATGAAGAGTTGTAAATATAGATCGTAAGATAATTTTGTAATCATTTTTATTAAATAAATATGGGAGTTGGGTCAGGGCGAATGGCTCAAACACATTTATCCTATGTGGTATCGAACTGACCTCAACAAATATCAAACTGGATTGTATGCACATAAAGTGTGACACTATCGAAATAATGTTTCAAAGATTTAAAGATAAATTAATAAAATAAGAAATCGACAATTGACTGCAAACTTTATTAACAACACGATATACAATAACTTGAATTATGGTGTTATCACATTGTGATAATTGTGGTTGAAGGGGTGTTGGTGGCGGCCATTCTCTGGGGCAGGGGGATTTGATAACATATGCCGTATTGTAACAGATTAAAAGAGGAAAGAACAGATATATAAACAATTATTTGAGTGTAGTGTATATGCTCTCAAAATACTAAAATTTTATATTAACGACTACACTATGTGGATCATTAACATAAAATTTGGGGGTGGATTGTGACGCCTCATAATTATTATTAATAAATAATAATTAACTTCATTATACAGACATTTAAAAATGTCATAGAAATTATAATTTAAACAATAAAATGCAAATAATAAGCATAGAGTTCAAAAATATCCATTTGGAATATTGAATATTATATATATTAGTAAACGCATAAAATGTCTCAAAAAATCTCTAAATTTATTAAAAACCTGCTTAAAATGTTCAAAATATATCAAGTCATATAAATACAAGGCGATTATATTGCAATAACAAAGATAAATAACATTTGTAATATAATAGAAAAAATGGATTAAAATTTTCTAAGTTGATGAAGGTGTTCGTGTAATAATTGGAAAATTTCTAAGTTGATGAACGTGTTCTTGTATTGTTCCCTTATATTGGGGCGTTGTCGGAGACACATACCCAAAGTTGTACATATATATGGGGTGGTCGGCTGACCGACTGCTAGTACTAAGGTTGCACAATGACTAGTCCTATATTAGGGACTTAACATAGTAAGGTCTGACGAACCAAAGCATTAATATAGAAGGTCTCTATGATGCATAAGCATTATGATAGCAGAGTTATGACTTGAAGTCCCATATGAATAAGACATACAGTAGTATGGTCTATGAAATAAAGCAAATATGTGGAAGGTCTCAAATATGTAAAAGCATTATATTGAAAGAAATGGGACTTGAAAAGGATTATTATAGTGGCGTGTAGGTTGCTTCGCAGCCTCTGAGACCGAGGTAAACTTGGACTCACTAACCGATGTGTCCTAGACATATCATCTTAGTGCCGGTGGTAAGCGGGTTTGTTGTAGCAATACGACTTGCCCGTGGACATCGCACACCCCTACCGGTTGTGGGCGGCGTCTTAGCGCATAGCGTTATGATACGTCGGCTATCTTTCGGATTAGGGTGAGTGTGTTTGGTAGTACTTTTAAGTGCAGCAAGCATACTCAACTTCATGTCTTAGTGCAATAGCGCTATGATACGTGGAGTTTTGGCTACTGACGTCTTAGTACCGTACTACTATGATACGTTAGTGGTATTTTTAGTTAACAACATTATCAAATTTTGTTACCAAAGTCGATAGGGATCATGTGGGTGTGTTGTGAGGGGGCGCTATCCGTATGATAGTTGCATTGATGCTTACTGCTACTTGCAGTATTGTGTCTTGTGATGGATCTGCGGGTGTGCTGCACCTGATTCGATGCATCTTGTGGTTCTGGTCGATGGAGGTATGCGGGTGGTGATGTCTGCTGGGTCTGTATGGGGGACCTTGGGATGGTGTAAGCCCGACGATAGTCGTATTGATGCTTGTTGCATTCTGTGGCATTGCGTCTCTACGATGGTTGTTTGGCGGGTCGCTATTCTCAATGGCGCTCTCTGCGTCTTGGTTTGACTCACAACCTAAGTAGCTTTGCCCAAGTCGGGTCCCTTCATTGCGGGGCTGCAGACTGTCTGCCCTCCATGATGTTTTATATAACAACTTAATAATATATCTCTATAAAGTTCCCACCTTTGAGAGATTGAAGGCAACTTGTTGGTGGGTGAGACAAACATGATCGAAAAATGCATATACTCAACGTCAGAGACACAAACCCTTTCTGATGGCGAATTATTAATATTATCTTATAACTGCCTATTGGCTATATCTGCCATTGTATTGGTTGGTGGAGCATATGTGTTGACCTCATGCGGGTGGTAGCTGGAGGGAGAATCTGAGGAGGCTCTCAAGGCTGCGGCCGAAAGCCGCGCAACGTGGGACCCCATTCCCTTGAGGTGAGCGGTAGACTCATGACACGCTCTGCGGCCAATTGGCCGTGCTGACCATGCAATTGGTGGTGATGCCTTACACTTACATCACGTCTGCAGGAACGGCGGTCTGGCAGGTGGTGGCGCTCACGGAAGGCTTTTTATGGTCAGTGTGCCGATTGTTGCCTAACCCGTGTGACGTACATTTCACTGTGGCTGGATTTGATCGTATTCTGTATGGCGTTTACACGCATTGACATGCGCGACTTCGGTCGATGTTTGTGCTTACGCACTGTCAAGGGGCCAAGTCCTCTTTTACTGGTTCGCCAGTTATTTTGCTGTGGACTACGGTCCAGTTCCCAACTTTGCGTACCCTTCGGGGGGAGCGCATTAAAATGGTTGGCGCTCACCGTGCGCGGCGTGTGTGGGGCCGTGTACCTCCTCCACATTTTTTTTAAAATGTGGGAGAGCGAAGCCCTTGTAACTGGTATTTGATATAAATATTGTGAGCCTTTTCCAAGCGGGAAGGGATTAATTAATAAGGAATTGACTGTTGTGAACCAGATACAAGTGGAATAGGGACAATTTATTGTTCTTAACCTTTTTGAGCTCTGTCTTCGTGAACGGGGTTCTTTAGCTTATAAGACTCTACCAACAGCTTTCGATTGCTCTCGTGAATATTCATTCTTCCAAGATACACCTAAAAGAACTAAGTTACTATACAAACACAACGTAAAAAAGGGTCCTAACTAAGACGATCACGCCATAAATTTATTAAACGGCCTATATTTAAACCTTTAGAAAGATCAAGTTATACTGGTCACATAAATTAGATGTATTTATATATCTTACAGATATAGATTCTAAAGAAATACAAGTATAAATGGGATATATAGTAGAAGAGAAAAAAGATGGGGGGGGGGTTCGTTACACAAGCATATCAATCAAATAAATAAACGTTTAGATTTTCCAGTGCAATTGAACATACATAATATTCATTCGTTAATTGATGTTTCGAAACTTAGTTCATATTATTATAACAATAAGATTGTTTTCAGCTTGCAGATTCCATTAATAACACCTGATAAATTCATTGTTTATAAAAATATCCCATTACCGACTCCTCACGACGAGTCGCATATACAAACGTTTGCACTTATTCAACCTTCTAATTCCTATATTGCTTTAAGTGACGATAGAATACATTATACTATGTTTAATAACTTAGATGATTGCAAATTTATTAATAATAACTATTCTATTTGTGAACTATTTACTATAACGTCTAGCATAAATAATCCTAATTGTGAATCGAAATTATTAACAGAAGTAACTCTTTCCTTACCTTCTGAATGTAACTCCAAGTTATTATTTGGCCAAATCAATATTTGGCATAAATTAAAAAATAATAAATGGATATATGTACAATCCAATGTAAATAAATTAACTATCAAATGTAACGATGATATTACTGATCATTCTATTATTGGCACAGGTATTGTCAAATTAACCGAAAATTGTATCGGTTATTCCAATACTATTCAATTATTGCCATCAAGTACTTATCAATTTTCGATTAAGTCAACTATAGATATAAGCTTTGAAATAACAAGAGATGATTGTTGCAAAAAAGATGTATTTAATAAAAGTTTACCATATTTAACGCCAATCTCTCTAAGCAAAGTTAACTTGGATTCCTTAAAATATGCAAATCATCAGCTAGATAGTTTAGAATTTGAATTAAATAATCTTCAAAAGGAATCACATTTTATAAAATACGGTTCATACTATTCCACATTTACTTATATTTTAATTGTATTACTATTTTTGTACTTAGCCTACAAATTATTTAAATGTTCCAGAAATCGACACAATAATAGTGGACATTGTATACAAATATTTAATCAGTGTAATAATAAAAAGTCGTCGAAACATAATTCTAAAACTACAAATTCAATTGAGATGATTGTTATGTCAACATCTGAAGAAGATAATAACTCACCCAAATCTTTACCAAATTGTACTAATTGTGAACCTTATAGAACTGTACACAAAGTTCACTCTTCCTCCGGAAGAAATCTTAATTTCTAATTTTATTCAATTTTAGTTTTCAAAAATATTTGTATTAAAACAAATAATTAATTTTATTATCATACAATTTCAATTTCTACTTTGTCATTTTATATTTTGTAATTGCTACATTTTACTATTTTTGATTCAATCTAATTGTAATATGTATTTTTTTAATTTTAAATGTGTATTGTTATTTAATTATATACAATGTTAAAATGAAAATTGTAATTGAAAATACTATTTTGTTTATTAAAAATCAATTTCTACTCGTAATTCTACTAATTCATTTAAAATACTTTTAATTCTAGATTTTACTATTTTACCTTTATTAAATTAATTTATAATTAAATTCATTGTTCTATTTTATATTGATTATTTGTTAAATCTTACTCTGTTTCTTTTAGATAACTTAG